CTCCCTAAAGTAATGAAAGCCTTTCATCTAAAAGTGCAAGTAGCAGGAAAGAAGTTGAGCACTCAGTGAAATTTTTTGGCATCCGGCAGCACAGTTACTGATGTAAGGCTGAACAGCAGCAGTGCATTGTTCCAAGTGAGTTCCAAAGCTCCTGGAACGTGTTGCAAGACTCCAGGAAGGAACATTACCAAGTATGTAAGTCCTGCTCTTAGGGCTACCAAGCAGATTTTGGCAAAAGTCTGAATACTATTGTGTTTTCAGCTTTGATTTTCACTTGCGTCAGTGGAGCTTTTAATTCCTTCAGGGAAAATGCTACTGATGTAAGAAATTCCAGCATTTCTGCCATTATTGTAAAAATTACAGAAAGAAAGGCCCCTGAAAAGGACCCTAAGGCAAAATACAGCATGCTGAGAGAGGCTATCAGGAACAGGATTTCCAGAACAAATACCTGGTTCTTTACTATCTTCTGTCATTGTACTTTTAACCTAGGTCTGGTACAAGTTTTCCCTTTCTCACCTCAAGAATCTTGAACTTCTGGCACATCTGTGTTTCATAGTTACTTGTCCATGAATACCTGATACTTGAAGTTGTAATTATTATTATTAAATAAAAATGCCTTATTATTTAAGCATCAGAGAAGCTAAAACTAATTGATAAGACAGTTTTTCTGGCTACTGTAGTTGTAATCTAATTCCTAAAGGAGCAACAGCACATGACCTTGTATTTGTCATATTAACTATGACAAATGGAATAAATTAAATCTTTTCATACCAATGCATGGAGAGACAACCCTGGTGTTTAAGGATAATTTCTGTATTAATATGAAGAACAAAATTCTTAGCAGAGTGCAGCAGCATGCAGCAGAGGCTAATTGGTGGAATTATGCTGCCATGGGTACAAAACACCTACTCAGGCGCAGAGATCTGGTACAGTTGCTATGAAAGTAGCATGGCAATGACCAGGAGATTAAACATCATCAACCTGCACTTTATCTTCAGTTCTAGCACGGAGTGTTTGATGTGTATCTCACCTGTTTACTTATAAAATGGACTGAAGAATAAACACTACCTCCAAGGCTACGGACAACAGGCTATAGTTGATAGCAAAGGTCAAGTTGTACAGAAATTGTCCACTGTTGGATTACATCCTCAAAACAGTCCACGTTCTTTCAATGTAGTACAGCCAGTAACCTGCTTGTAGGCCACACAATATTTGAAGTACTTAAGACTGCAAGTATGTGAAAGGGATATGGAGGTACTTAATGTGGATTGCAATTAGAGAAGTTGCCCTTGGACCACAGAAGGTAGTTTCTGTGTTTTTCATGCACACCAAATTAATTTACTTAATCTCTTTATAAACCAGGTCATTCATTTCACTGGAGGAATTATTTTCCACTACTAGTCAAGAGGTGTCCTTTCACTCCAAGATCTCTATTAACCAAACAAAAGGAGGAAGTGACCAACCTATGACAATGCAGGAAATTTGATGGCATATGACAATTACCTTCAATTCAGCATTACTTCCTTTTGGCCTTAGTATCAACCTTTCTCTGCCCTTCTCATTTCTGCATAGTGTATTTATTACTCTGCAGGGACTTGCTGGATTTTATTGAATATCACCTGTTATTTATATTAGTGAATCTTTAATCTAGGTTTATTGCAGAAAGACAGTTTCAGGAAAAAGATATTTGTGATCTCAGCAGGGCTCTTCATGTACCCCATGGAACCAGCTGACAATCATAAGGCACCAGCAGTCAGAACTCATAGGAAGCACCTTCAGCCCTCAAAAATGGAGTTACTCTTATTGTTGAGAGTACTTTTCTCTCCAGGAAGAATAAAGCAAAGGTTTTTTTCAGACTTACTTATCTGCTTATCTCCCAGGAGAAATTTGCTTTGCTACATCTCTGTGATCAGTGTTAAACAGGAGAGAACCTTCAACCCAGCCAGCCGGCACACAGCGATTGACATACCCCCGCTCAACACAGAACTATTATCTGTTGTGTTCTTTTCTCATTCTACACAGTCCTCTTTCATACCTCTTCAGCATCTGAAGACTAAGTTTTCCTCTCAAAAGTTCAGCACTACTTTACTTCCTCTGTTGTACCTTTTTACCATCTTCAATGTGCTTGCAACACTGACTGCAGAGCTCCCCTAGCATGAAGACACACACAGGCTTTCCCTGTGCTGAGCTTCCACCCTACTCATCCTCTGGAGACTAACACTCTAGCTTTCTTCAGAATCACTAATACTAGGCCATCACTCTATGTCCACTTCGTGGTTTCAATCACACAGATTTTTCCTATCTTTATTCATTTATGAAAACAATGACATACATTACTCACATTGCTGATCTGTTTTTCAGCCTAGACTGTGCTATAGGTTTGATTCCACGAAAATACTCTTTCAGACTGGTTGTAATTCAACTTTATGCATTAAATACTGTTTTACTGAGTGATTTCTCTGCACCATATATTTACAGGTACCTAGTTAGCCACTATAGCTTAGAGTCCCTGAAAGTTTACAAAGCTTTAATTTCATCTTACAATTTTTGAAAGAATTATGAAGTCCTAGATTTGATTCCAAGAAATCCCTTCTGACTAGTCTCCTGGCTTTGATACTTTCACCATTGTATCCAGAAGAGGCTTTGGTCAAATCCAGACCAAAGCCAGTGACATCAGATTGAAAGAAATGTTGGAGCAGAAACTGAAACAAAACATGAGCATAAGCCAAAAAAATCACAACTCTGAAAAGCCTTACATTGCTGCTAAGCATGAAGGTAAGCAACCTCCACGGTGTCAATTTTAAGGTTTTAGACAGAGCTTTGCTTCTGAGCAGGCTCCATCTTGGCAGAGGTGGAGACAATCCCAAGCAGACCTGAGCTGGCCATCCTTTGCCTATCCCATTGCAGAACAGTCAATTTTACAATCAACCGCGAATCATCAACTCATTTGGGCTTTGCACAAGTTTTATCAGGATCCTTTTATAAAAGGGTATTTATCTTTTTTAGTCATCACCTGGAGAATGCCCTAGGTTTAGGTCAGCCTGTCAGACACATTTTCTTGAAGCTGTAGCTCTCCACCACCCTACACACACAGGCTCAGAAAAGAAAACGCAACTGAGGTCACCCACTTGATGGAAAAAAAGACAGGGTTAGCAGTCTGTGTTTTAAACACCTTACTCAGTGAAACTATCACATCCCAGATCCAGGTTTTCCAGCTTCAACAACTGGAATTCTCATCTGGTCAGTCCTTTGATTTTACTGACCAATTTCACTGCCATTGTTCCACAGCTTTGCATCTGAGATCAGCACTTCAAGCTCAGAGAAAATAGTTTCAACTCACACCAGAGGTATTTTAAATCCTCACGTAAGGACAGGACCAAGGAGTTGTATTGCACATGATGTGTTTGAGGTAGATGATCTCCATATGCATTAGCATTCCATGTTTAATCTCCAAACCCAACTTCTCAACGATAAGACAACACATTTCCATAATTTTTCCAGTGCTTCTAGAAGTATTCAATCCATGTGTTTCAACTATAACTCTCCTAATACATCCAACAATAAGTAGTGCATTAAAAATCTGCTCATCCTGACTCCACTCTTTGCCTCTGCATTTTTTGCTAAGCTCTAAAATACCTAATTTAATCCACTTTTTCAATACAATTCAGTTCCTATATTGTCCTTTCTCTTGTGCAGGTATCAGCATTTCAGTAGCAAAAAGGCTTTTTTGTTGACTGTTTAATGAAACCGATTCTCTTCATATAATGAATTATAGCCAGAGTTATTACTAACTTCTGGTAATCACAGGAAAACCCTAATTTGACTTACTCAATGTCTGCTAAGCAGTTCCAAGAAATGTGGACAGAACACAACAGATTACTAGATCACAAGATGGATAAAGGTAAAAAAAGGTTTGCTGGGTTTCACATGCTCCACCAAGAATAATCTTAGAAAACAAGGTGGAAGTTACAAGAATTGAGACACATTTTATGGAGAACAAATATTTTCACTTCAATATATTTGGTTTCCAAACAGTGAACTTGCAATGAAAAATACCCACTTAATATTAAAATCAGTACAAAACCCCCTAATATGCACATTAAAATTCCTTTTTTGTTTGCTTTGACAGTGCATCTATATACAGGAAAAATACTGTACCTCTGGGACACTGGAGAGTAACAGAAACAGCTTTGTTCAAGAGTACTGATTTCATGGTGATGTGGCCTCAAACACACTATATTGCACAGAGCTTGTCCCACTTAACTTGGCTGTGGCTGATGTGTAAGAGGTCTTTATGTGATCATTGTTACATGGGATCCTTATATTCAATATTAAGGCAAATTTCTTTCAAAATAAATACTTTACCTACCTAAAGTACTTGTCTCTTCTAAACTATATTCTAAGACAACAGTTACACATTAGCAAACAAACAATTCTGTTTCTGTAGATCTTACCCTAACTTTGAGCAACATGACAGCTGCTGAAAAGGTGAAGACAGAGAACGACTTGGTCTGGAATTTAATGGGCTTCAAACAAATGTGTGCCTTTGGGTTTTTTGTTCCTGCTCAAAAGCCTGTTTCTCCAATTAGTCTGCAAGGATTAAGGCATTACAAACTCCTGCACCTCCAGTAGTCTTGGGCAACAACAAAGTCTGACACCATAAAAAAAAAAAAAAAAAAATATTATCTGCATAAGTCATTAATATGACTGCAAAAGCTTTTAACGTTCTTCCTATCTACACTATACACACACAAAAATATTTACAAAGAGGAGTTTTCTACTTAGAGCCACAACTACATTTAGAGATGGTTAAACTGACTTACACATCTACCTTCAAATAATCCTGGGTTAACATGAAAAACGTCAGTTTACCTTTAGGAATGAGATCTTGTTTTACGAACAAGATCTGTATATATACAGTATCAGGACCATCACTGATACTGACTGCATTTACCAGTGAAATTATGCAGTGTGAAATCCCAAAAGAAATTCAATGAAAGTATCTTTAGCAAAATGTAGAAACTTTAATTTACATGCAAAACTACAACATATCCATAGTAAAAAACTGGTGACTAAACAAATTAAACACAATTTTTAAAAGCTGTCCACATTGCTAAATAGGTCTGTACAACCAAAGATTTACAAAGTCCCTGTGCATTTTTATCTTTTCAGTGCACAACTGAGTTTAAAGGTTCTGCTCGAATATTTCCCAAGTCAAGAGCTGAATCTGTCTCTTCATCAATTTCACCAATCACAGCACTGGAAAAAAAAAAAAAATCAGGTTATTTGTTGTTGAAATCAAATCACACAGTTCTAAAACAGAAGCTGAATTTTATCTTCTAACAACCCTTACTTGCTGTTGAACTATACCACCTTCTTCTGATGGCTGCTGTTTATTCCATGAAAGCTTCTAGTAATGCACACTGGAATGCTCCAAGTACTTTGTACCATGACTGTTTCTTTCCTTTTATTTTTCAACAGCTTCCCTATTTGTAGACTCGTAAGAGTCCCCTATTTTGAAGTTACTGTTACTTAGCTATTGATTCTTTTTACTTCTTTCTATAAGGATGCTGAATTTCAGCATCTTGAAGAGTTGCATGAATACAGAATTATTACTTGTAATAAATATGTTTGAGTTTGTTAAGATTGCAAAAAATTTTATTTCATATAAGTATATTTTGAATATATTTGAGTAATGTGGCTGTATGATGATGTCTTTCATCATACATTTCAACTGTATGATGAAACAGTGAAGTAGTAAACAATTATTTGCTCTTTTATACACATGTTTATTATCTGAATGAAAGGCTACTGGTAGAGTGGCATGCATAATCCCACCTTTATACATGTGTCAAATTACTTTTTCTTAAAAGTTTAAGTTGAAAATGATGAAAGTATTCAGAATGATCCACTTTCTCAATTAGGTTAGATAAATGCACCTAGATACCAATTTAAGCATTGTCATTTTGTTGTACAGAAATATCCATTAGAATTAGAAGATGAAAATTCTTATCCAGGCTCATGTGTTGGTCACTACAACATACTCTTTTTCCAGCTGTGATAAAAAAAATGATCTAACTTCTGCCATCAGTTTCAGAATGCTGCCGAAATAGTAATCTTCCTAGCTGGCCCACTTACCAGGCCTTCTTTACACTTCTCTTGTAACCCTCCCATGGGTTTTGGCACACCAGTTACTTTTCTCTGCACTCAATGAGCTTTTACCCTCATTTTGTAAGGGAATTTTACATCAAATACCAACTCATACATTTGACATGTCGCTACATTGGCTTCAACACTTGCTACACTGTCAGGTCAGAACCTTCAAGGATTTTCCAGATTATAAAGTGCTCTCTGTGAACATTTGCTCTAAAAAAACTCCAAAAAATTGTTTAAAATCAACTTTGTACACAAGATTGCTGACTTCTTGCACACAAGTTCTATCCCATTTTTTAGTGATTATCTCTTCCTTCATCATTTCTCAGCCTGCCCTTGTAGCTCCAGCCGTCAGATCACCTTCAATCTAAACATTACAATGTAATCACTTCTGTAAAAGTGTAGATGTTTGCTATTTAATACAGAATCACAGTAATTTGTTTGGAAAGACCTGCAAAATCAAGTCCAACCATTAACCTAACACTGCCAAGTCCACCACTAAACCATGTCCCTACGTATCACTTTTACACATCTTTTTAGTACCTTCAGGGATGGTGAGTCAGCTTTGACAATACTTTCAATGCTACCCACAAAGATGAAAGGTGTCTGAGGCTATCAAGATTTATACAGATTATGGATATATAAATATACATACACACAAACACATGTGCATACACACACAAAGGTTGTATGAAAAGATTTAAACAAGACCATGCTATACTTACACATTATCACCTCTTACGATGTATAAGCCCAGCACTACTTGCTCAACTCCTTGTGAAGAACTGAACACTCGTTCATGGCTTTCATCCAAAATCAAGTTTATGGTCTGATCAAAACCTTTGAGTGTTCCCTGAAAAAAACACAAAGAAAAAGCCCTTAAAGTATTTCCTCTTTGCGGTCTTTTCCTCTTAAACAGAGTGGCAAAATAAAGCTACTAAATATGTTCTATTCAGATTTTATTCTTTGGCTTAAACAAAACAGCTAAAGAATAAAATTTTAAAAGCAATAACCAATTCAAGAAAAGCACACATATTACTGTGTGTTCATGCTAAAAGACACAATAAATTTAAGCATTAAAAAAGTAAATTTTTCATTTTATCAATGATGTTCCTCTAGACAACTAGTTTTACTATTTCTACACTGTTTTTTTGTATGGATGTTTCCAGAAATTAAATACATTATTAAATAAAACAAAGAACAGCAAAGTTGGATTCTTGTGGTCAACAATACTAAAACCATTCCTAACAAGAAATTTTAAGTGCTATCTCTTTGAAGGAGATTACCTTGTGTTTACTAGATTATTTAAAGAAATAAATCAAAAACAACAGGATTTTGGGGCACTTAAGGTATGATGGAGTCTTCATGGGAGAAAATAAAATGTTAAAAAATATAAGTCTTACCACAATCATTCTTCCATCAGAAGTAATTACTGCAACAGTACCTGATATTTCATTAAGGAAATTTTATTTTCATATCTGAAATAAAACCATTAACATTTTCTAAAATGTTCATATGTAATACAGGTTATGAGCCATTCAGAGTCTAAAAAGCCTATCAGCACTTTTTTTAAAGCAGCACCGTTGACAATATAGTGTTTTTCATTAACATCTCCTTGAAAGTTCCTCTTCCCCAACCATGGGCAGTTGTACACAAACATGAAAAGCCTTAAAAACAGAATAAAGTTTTGAGCTCACCTTTCTTCCCATTACTAACTGCACTGCCTCAAAAACTGAAACAACAGTTCCATAAACACTCCAAGTCCTTAAAAAACAGGTCTGCAGTGGTGACCTCAAGGCTAGCATTCTGCATCCCTTTTTTCTGAAGATCTGATTATGCCAATTCATATACTGATGGCATATTCGTCATCTTGACTAATTCTGGGTTATTATCTTACTGTTTGTGAATAAAACTGAAAATGGCCCTGGGTTACAAGAAGCACAAAATAAAACTAGCACCAAAAGCGTTGCAAGAACCCCAATTCACTTCCCAAGCGATGCGAAGCTGCTATCTAAGCGTACGTTAGCAGCCCTTTAAGGGAGCAGGCCCGCCGCGAACCTCGCTCATCACGGGCAAAGCTCAGCTCGGCAGCACTGGATGCTGTGGGGACCCTGTTCTCCAGGTAACCTCCGGCCTGCCAGCCCAATCTCCTGTGACAAGAAACCTACACCGCCAACGGGGACGGGCCCAAGTACCAGAACCACGCTGCCCCGACCAGGCCCACCGTAAGGGCCCCGCCCGTGAGGGGAGGCCGGTGCCGCCGCCCCCGTGCCGCGAGTCCCGGCCGAGGATACGGTTGATGTAGTTCTCCAGCGCGGAGGTCATGGCGGCCGACTCTCACCGCGGNCAGCTCGGGGCCGAAGCCAGACGGCGAGCGCGGGGACACGCATGCGCCGGGGGCAGGGAGCGGCAAGGAGGTGCGGGAGGGCCGTACCAAGGAGCGATCGGCGAGAGCCGCGCGGGGGGACTGTGGCGCCCCCTCCACGGCACATGGCACCGCCCGCAGGGACGCCCGGGAGGCGGGAAGGTTCATTCCCGGCAGCCAAGGGTCGGGCATCAGGGTCCTGCTGCCTCGTGTAGCGTTTCTTTTCTCAGTGGCAGCAGGCCAAGAACTGGGGTCAAGGGGTTGTTGTCCACGTGGAGACCAGTGACTAGTGGTATCCCTCCAGGGACTAGTACTAGGGCCAACACTGGCGACATGGACAGTGGGATTGAGTTCACTCTCATCAAAATTGCTGGTGACACCAAGCTGTGTGGTACCATTGACAGGATGGAGAGAAAGGATACCATCCAGAGGGATCTGGATAGGCTTGAGAGATGATCCCATGTGAATCTCATGAAGTTCAACAAGGCCAAGTGCAAGGTCCTATACCTGGGTTAGGGCAATCCTAGACACACCTACAGGCTGAGTGGAGAGGTGATCAAGAGCATCCCTGTGGAGAAACACCTGGGGGTAATGGTTGATGAAAACTCAACATGACCCAGCAGTATGCATTTTCAGCCCAGAATGCCAACCATACATATCCTGGGCTGCATCAAAAGCAATGTGGGTAGCAGGTCAAGAGAATTGCTTGTCCCCCTCTCCTCTTGTGAGATCCTACATGTGTCACAGGTTCTCCCAGCAGAAGGAAGACATGGAAACTGTTGGAGCAAGCCCAGAGGAGGGTCATGAAGTTGACAGGAGATCTGGAGCACCTTCCTTATGAAGACAGGGTGACAGTTGGGAATGTTTAGTCTGGAGAAGAGAAGGGTGCATGGACACCTCATAGCAACCTTCCAGTATCCAAAGGGGATCTACAGGGAAGCCAGAGAGAGACCCTTCTTGAGGAACTGTAGTGACAGGACAATGGGTAATGGGCACAAACTGAAAGAGGGGAAATTTAAGGTAGATATTAGGAAGAAATTACTCACTGTGAGAGTGGTGAGAATAGGTTCCCCAGAGAGGCTGTGGGTACCCCAACTGTGGCAGTGTTCGAGGTCAGGTTGGGTAAGGCCTTGAGCAGCCTGGTCTAGTGGAAGGTGTCCTTGCCTATTGCAGAAAAGGTTGGGATTAGATGCTCTTTAAGATCTCTTCCAACCTGTAAATTCATATGAGCCTTGCTAGTATGGGAGCTATGTAACGCTCCCTTGGTTTCCTGTGGGCTGCCAGTGTGAGGGGGGCAGGAAGGAGGCCTGACTGCTGCGCTTCCACACAGGCACCAAGTCCCACACAGCTGCTTGCTCATTTCCCAGTCAGTGGGATAGGGGAAGGAATTGGAAGGATAAAAGCTTGGAAAAACTTGGGTTAAGATAAAGACAGTTTAATAGGGAAAGCAAAAGCTTTGTACACAAGCAAAGCAAAACAAGGAGTTGAGTCACTTCTTCCTATGAGCAGGCAGCTGTTCAGCCATCTCCAGGAAAGCAAAGCCCCATTACCTATAATGGTGACTTGCAAATTCAAATGCCATCACTCCAAACATCCTCCCTTTCTCCTTCCCTCCACTTTATGTACAGAGCATGATGTCATATGATACAGAAAATACCTTTGGTCAGTTTGGTCACCTGTCCTGGCTGTGTCTCCTCCCAGCCTCCAAGTTTAGATCATCCCTGTCAGTACTAGTCCAACTTACTTTTATTGCAGGAAAAGAGACAAGTTGGCAAGAGGTCCAAATTAGAGCTTGGTGTCCAGCCCATGGTTTAATTCCTGCAGGGAATACAGTTTCTGGAAAGGAGAATGCTATTGCTTATTCTCCTAGCGTGCCAATTGTCTTCTTGCACACTATAGCCATGTCAGCCACAGGGAAAGCAAAATTAAATTTTTTAAGGCAAATTAGCCAGGAAAAAAGAAAAGGTGTTCCCTGGCACCTCTGAAGGTACCTACACCAAAGTAGCCTCTGAAGAATTTGTCTAATGGCTCAGCCTTTATGAGAAACATGACAAGAGATATCAGAGAACAAAATACTTTTGGAACTGGCCATTACATAACTCTCATCCTCTTAAGCTTTTATTATAAGAAGCTTAACATCTGCCACTAATGGTTACACCAGGACTGGAATTATTATTCTATATTTCATGCAAGAGGCTAAAGGGTTGTGGTTTGTTTGTGTTTTTTGGGGGGAGGGGGCGGGTGTTGACATTTTCCTTTTCATACTCTTCTTTCTCTCAGTAAAGAGGTATTCTCAAAGGCCAAGAACAGATCACTGGGATACAAGGATGTTGGATGAAATCTTAAAATACTTGCAGGACATTGCCACAATACTTGATGCCAAGGATCTCTGATCCATCTGTTTATATTAAGTGCGTCCCTGAAAACCAGAGAAGGGATTTTTAAATTTTTTTTTTATTATTATTTTATGAAGGGGGATTTAAACCCAAAAGAGTAAGGCCAGACTCCTGAAGTCTGGTGCCCAGGCTTTGCCAAACCAGGTGCTTAAAAACAGTTAACACCCTCAGCATAAAGGAACTCTGGAAAAGAAAATTCCTGGTTTCGTCTGTTATTAGGCTCTTCCTGAAGACAGGCAGCTTGGCCCTTCTCACAACCCTGAGGTTCAGTCTTCTGTTTGAAGCCGCCACTCCTCTTTCTCTCTTCTTGCAAACTACCGCCACAGACAGAGGAAATGGAGAAGTAATTTAAACCCGTATTTATTTTTTTTTTGAGGTGGGCGGTGGTGGAGGGAATATGTTGCCTGCCTTTCTCCTTCAGGAAGAAGGATTGGGAAGCTAAGTTAAAACCAGGGGGCACAATGTTGGTAGTTGTGTGGAAGTTGTGCCCCGTGCGGGAAGCGCACGGATCCACGGGGGAAGGTGCCCAGCAGGGGGCGCGCCTCGCCCGCAGCCCGTGCGCTGAGGGGAGCGGAGCGAGGGGCGGCCCTGCGCCTCTGGCTTCGCCGTCTTAGGCCTCAGCGAGTCGCCTTGGCCTTCGCACAGAAAAATAGTTTTCTACCGGAGAATGAGATGCTTTTCCCACTAAAGATGCTCGTGTTTCTCCAGTGCTTACAAAGCGAGCCCACTGTGACTGACACGGACATTTCACAGGTTCTCACTTGAGTTAGACCAGATGCATTTTATTTCTGGTGACCTCATAACGTTGGTAACATTTGGGATCAGAAAACTGTAGCTAGCAACCCTTTGCCCGTTCCTTCCCTTCAGGTGCTGCAGAGCTGCCCTTGGGGACATGCTAAGTAATAATAAAGCCCATTAAGCTCTCAGTTGCAGAAACAAATACCCTTTTAAAAAGCTTCCTTTTCTATTCCATTGTTCAGATATAGCTTACTTGCTAAATACATTTGCTCCTGTAATTAATATCAGTTTATTTCTGCAATTAATTCTCCATACATTAAGGCTGCTGTGGCATATGATTGCTCTGTGTTATGCTTTCTGCAGAGTATGTGACCAACTAATCATGTCCTGTAGTGTCTGCACACTTTCCGGCTTCCATAAAGTTAGCCAGGGCAGGAAGGAAACCCTGCAATGATAGTTGGAAGGTGTGTGTGCAAAATTGTTTTCTAGCCTAAGGCTGGTAGAATGGGTGACTAAATGCTTTGTTGCTAGTCACTGTATTTTACTCATCAGTTTTATATCTCCTAAACCATGCTAGCTGCTGGTGGCTGTGCTTTCCTTAGTTACTCAGAAGTAGCCAGGTTTTATAGAGCCAGCAATACTGAAGGGTGGAATGGTTTTGTGATGCTCTCGATAGAAGAGGTGCCTGACTGCTATTGCTGTGCCATGGTATGTCAAGCCGTGCCCATTAGATCAGATCAAGAAAGGTGAAAGACTTACTCCTCCAGCTTCCTTGGAAGCTGAAAATCTACTATCATCACCTGATAACTGTTGGAACAGGAGCTTTATAGAATTTAATATAAAAAAACTCCCCAAATTAATAACATCTGTCAGCTTGCTCAACAAGAATTGCATCCCTTGGTTGCTGCTCAAGAATAAAGCAGCACCTGAGGTAGGGAATAATGGAGTGGTACATACTGAAGAAGAAGAATCAGGCAGTATGTACTCCACAAGAAAACTAAGCATCCCCAAATCCCGGACATTTAATTTACTAATCCAATATCCTTTCTAATACTTTCTGGGACTCAAAATTTTAAATCTCTCTGATTCTTACCTACTTGCCCAGAATATCACTTCACTGAAAGAGCTTAGCCCTTTAGCTTGTCTTTAGTTTATACACACCCAAGCTGGCTAAACATGATTGATTATGTGTTCAGGATAAATAGAAACATCCCTTGACCTCTGCTTTATTCCTCTAAATCTGTAGAGACTTTAGGGCTCATTATCAGCAATGCAAGGACATAGATTTTTTTTTTTTTTCTGGTAGCTGGAGAAAAGTAGCAAGAAGATCTCACTCATCTCATGCATGACTAGCTGCAGTCTAAGCTGAGATGTATATTATTGTATAAAATGACAGGGATTTGCAATGAAACAACTGGAAAATATCATAGAAACTTAGCAGTCTGAAAAGGGTTGGTAGATTGTGAATGTTTTACAATGCATTAGAAATAAATCTGTAGCATGAGGTCTCAAAGTACTTTTCATTTGTCTTTAGAAATTCATTAACTAACACCTGATCTAATTTTTGTTATGATAGCAACTGCTGCTATGGGAAACATTAAATTTATTTTTTTTACTTGAAGTTCTCCTTTATATGAGAAAGTGCATATTTTCTTCAGCAATTTTTGCTAAAATATGCAAAATACCATAGCAATCTTAATGAGAATATCCCTGCTTAGTGTGCTAGCATAAAAATAATTTTGGATGTTTCTGTTGGCAGGAAAACAAACTCTTTTCCATTTTCCTTCTTTTTTTTTATTGAAGAAACTGATAACAGCTGTAGAAGTTCAGCACCATTATCCTCTTAACTAATAATTTTAGGGGATGTTAAGAACTATTGGTAGGAAAAATGCCTTTGCTAATGGGTCATGTACCTACTACAAAATAACAGAGCAAATGGATTACTGTTTTCAGTTGCTCTAAGCAAAGCATAAATACAATTCTGTTGAAAATAGAATAAATAATAATAAATAATAAGCTTCAGGTAACTGACATTTACTAATACATCATAGAATCATTTTTACAGTTGCAGCTGAAATTGCATTTGCTAAATTGCTTTCATGAAGCAGGCTTTTCCTTCTGTTAGATTCCCTACTTCTCAAAGTATAATTCATCTTCCTGTAAAAGCACTGATCCTAATCTTTAGTCTGTGTTAAGATGACTAGATCTTCCAGTTTTAATTATAAAGTCCTTTATCCTAATACTCTGCAGGGATGCCCATTTGACCCCATTCCACCTCTTGTTTCATATGCTCTGTGGCACATAATCACCATGTAAAAGGAACAGCACATGGTCAAAGGGCTCTGTTCAGAGGTGACTTACATGTTGCCTGCTGCCAGATATAATGTAGATTGCACTAAAAAATCAATATATTTCTGCTTTGTAATTTATATTTTTTGAAGTAGGTTATCTGTTGTACCACAGAGCAGTCTTCTGGCACCAGGACCTTTAAACCAATTATGGAAGTGGAGAAGGACTATACTGCAGATTTGTCCTGCCCAGAAGTGGTGTTGGAATCCTTGTTGGAAATGTCAGTGAAAAATGATCAACAGGAGAAGATAAATAGGACTACCTGATTTCCTTTAATAGGAACTTTGTTTTTTCTGATGAAAGGCATAATACCAAAGGGCAGCAGGAGGCTGTTTTTCTTATCAGTAGGCTATGCTGTGAAAAGCAAGACTTGAAGCACAAGGAACAGAATTGCACCAGCAGAATGAAGAGAGGTGGCACATGAGAATGGCAGATGCTATTCTTTCTTCAGGGCCTTGAAGCAGGCTGTCTGTTTTATCATAGTTTCTAGTGTAGGATTTCTCAAATTACTGCTTCAACTGGGTATTTTCTCTTATTACTTCCAGGATCTCCTTGGTAATCACAGCTGGCATCCTTGTTCACTGTCAACAGGTTCAGTGAGATATTTTGAGCTTTGCTGAGGAACTTGCTTGTCCCAGCTCAAGGTAGTATTGTGTGGTAGCTCATAATTCACTCAGGTGGGCTGCTGATGCCAATGGCAGGCTCAGCACCGAGGCCTTTGGTGTGAAGATAACTCTATATGCTGCACTTGGAATCTGTGCTGCAGCCAGCACAGGGCTATCTGGAGTGGTAGGAGGAATTCTGATTACAGAGATTAATAGATGTAAGAGCAAGTGACATCAGAAGAAAACCTTTTGGTTTGCTTTCTGTTTGTACATTTGGTCTAAATTGGGGAAAACCTTTGTAAATAAACAAAAACAAACAAACAAACAAAAAAAAAAGCCAGGCCTTTGGATCATGATGAGATGGAAATTTATTGTAACTTCTTCTTTGAAGAAATATTGTGATGGGTAAAACTTTTTGTTTGAGGCAGGTCAGCTTCAAAGCAAGTTCCACCGTGCACAGGGCTTTCTCCCCTTTTAATTGCAGAAAAAAAATTATTCTCAGGTTACCATGATCACGTATCCAAGGCCTAATTGTGACTCTGGAGTGATAAACTCTGAAATTTCTGGGCTATTTGAATTGGTACATCTAATGCCTGACCTGAAAGTACCAGTTAGTTTTGCAGATGTATAGTGCTGTAATAGCTGAGGGGGTGAATGATAAAAGGCCTTGAGAAGTGTCCTTCTGTTGGAGTCTTACATGCTTACCTGGCTCTGGTGTAGAGGGGTTACCACTGTTGCACAGTATCTCACATGAGAGAAGAGCAGTGTCTCAGACAGCACAGTGCTAACCACTGGTAACTTCTGCCTTTTCATCATCATCTGCTGTGCTATTGCATTATTGATTAATGCTCTTGAAAGCTATCCATGCTGGTGTCTTATGTTCTTACTGAAAAACACTTAATATATCAGCCACATCTAATTGAATAGCAAGAGGAATGAGCAAAATACCATTCATAAGCACTCCCTTTATAGTAATCGACAAAAATATATGTCACTGAATATTGAACCCACCTTGAAGGCATAAAATTTACAAATATAATGATTTTTTTAATATTTTACTCAATTTCTGCTGGGCATGGTGCTGCTAACAATGCTCTGGAGAGTTACATGTTTTGTTTATTGTAGACTAAACATAGTCTTTCCATTTAGTGAAGCATTACAGTGTCTCAGAATGATTGATAAATATTATTATAATTATGTACTAAATCTGCAAGTTGAACTACATAGATGTTCACTGAAATAGCAGAATTTCTTTTGAATTCAGTGGTGTAACTGAACATAGAAATTAGCTAATTTTAAATATTGGTATTACAATGACTCCAGAAGGCATCAGTCAATATTAGGGCCTCATTATAGTAAACCATTTACACAGGTATGTGAAGAGAGAGAAAAAGTTCTGGCTACAAGTACTTTGCATAGTGAATAGTCAAGAGAAAATTCACAGGGAAGAAGGTATTAATGTCTCCATTTTGAAGCCCTTAATAACATGCCTTAACTTTTGTTCAGCCCAGAAGTGGTTAGACAGACTGCATGATCATTAAAGCTCCCTTCCACCTGAAAATAATGTATTCTGGTTTGCTCTATAGTATTTTTCAGACAGAATGTAAAGAAAAGTAATTTTCCTAGGGCTGCTGTGTTCCACTGGTGGAAAAAAAAAATCAGATTTCTGAGCTATGTTCTAGGCAATTTCTAATATTTTATTTTACAACACCCTTTCAGTCTTTGAGGAAGGCTCCCGCTTCCCCTCTGCATATAATTTGATACAGAATATGTAAGATCATTCCCCATCTTGCCCCTTCTCATGTCCTTTCCGGAGACTTCAGTACTTTGCTAATCACCTTCATTCTCTTTCAGCCTCAGAGGTTCCAGAGTGGAATATGGATGCTGCATGTGACGTAAGTAACTATTATCATCTGCCCCACCTCCTTGTCTGACTTTAAATAAACAAACAAACAAACAAACAAAAAGATAATTAAAGGCACCTGAAAGAAATAATTAGAATGGAAATAATATTCATTGCCATTCCTGGTGATGACTGGCATGACATATTAAGGTGTTTATACATCTTTCAAAAATGGTTTGAGATTTTTTTTGTCAAGTGATGGGGCAGGTATGACTCTTAGGCAATAACGGCTACTGCAAATTAAATCACAGTATCAAGATAAGGCTGTTACTGTGCAAGGTTCTGCTGCTCTGAAGCTAATGTGCACAATCTGTTTTTGCAAGTGCTTTCATATTTTTGTTCTTTATTATGAACATATACAGCCTGTAAGTGTTTTTAGTATTGGCTGACTATGGTATTTTGTAGTCACGATTGTGGTATTTAAACAGGAGATGATCTGTTCTGCACATGGAAAGGGGCTGTGTTAAAGAGGAAATAATTTTAAAAAGCGTTGCTATTTTTTGGCAAGAGGATGTTATGTTTATTTCTCAAAGAACATACTCAGTGTTCATTATGTTCATGTACAAACCCATGATAATTTGAATCTGATTTCTATTCTGTACCTAGGAAGCATTATCTCTGTGTTAGAAATTCAAGTATGCTATTAAATTGCAAAGTTCTTACATGTATATAGTCTCATCTATTTCAGATGTTGTGTAATATTACTTCCCAATTTCACTCTAGGAGCTGTGATTACTTAGGTTAAATGAGCAATGTCACTTGAATAGCAGCTTCCATAAATAATGGAGATCTTTTTATAAAACTTCATTATATTGTTAATATCCAAAATGCATTTGATATGGTAAAACAGCACATTAACACTGGTTATGAAAATTCTTTGCAAAGAATTTGCCTGGCAGTGATTTTTAAAACACATTTCAAGACTTTCTGAAAAATCTTGAAATACAAACATGACACAACTGTGTTATGAAGATGTGTTTGATGAGGTGGAAGCAATGAAAATTTCAGAGGAGTGAATATTGATGCTGTCTCCTAAATAAATTAAGAATCAATAAGTTTCTTGATGGGAGACAAGAGTCAAGGTGAGAGTGAGAAGGACAAAACAAAAGAGGCTGTAGAGGTGAGAATTAATCCAAACAGATGCTAAGGCAAGGAGGAAGTACTTGATCTCTGGCTGAGATCTTCTTTAGATTTGCTTCCATAGGATATGATGGATTTGCTTAAGGACCTAATTCTGAACTCCATGGTCAAAGCACTTGTTTGACATAATAGAGTAAAGGAAGGTCTCTGCATGTGATCTAAAGATAGGTAAGTGAAAACAGTCATCTTTTGTTTCTGTTCAGCCATTTTTGGTAACTTCTGTTTCTATTCAGCAACTTTAAGTGACAAGTATAGTGCCCTAGGCAAAATTTCGTATCAGCAGATGGGTCCTCTGGGGGGGGTGGTATGGATATCAGGAGGTGTGAAAAGTTAGGTAGGATGATTGGACCCTGAAGGAATCTTAACACTCCCTTTCACTTCTCCCTGCCCACTAAATTCAATAAAACAGTGTACAAAAGCTGTTTGGGAAACAGCCAATTCAAGACAAAACTTTATCTGTGTCATTATAGTTATACGAATGCTAAGCAACACCTACAATGAAGGAAACTGTGGAGAAGCTGTTGTGTCCTTTCAGAAACACTTTAATAGAGTTCCATTAAATAAAAAAAGGTAAAGTCTTTGGTAACAAGTCTTGCCTAGAAACTTTCCACAGCAGCTTTCCATGGTGGTTTCAGAGTAATTTATATTGACAAATTCAAATATCAGCAGAAACTGTGACTTCCATAGGTATAAAGTGACTCAGTGTGATGTTATGGTGATAGCACTGATACCATGCTGAAAAAACACACAGGAACTTCTGTTACACTTGTGTGAATAGGTGTGCAGAACAAAAAAAAAACCTCACTGAATGTCAAAGATGTGATTCTGTCAGAGCTATTAGCCCATCTGGCCTGAGATGATGACATAAAATTGTGCAGCATCTTTGACTTAGTAGATCTTTCATAGTTGATGCTTTCTGAAGCTGTGTGCCAAAAAGAGTATCACTGTCTTTGAGTTCATTTACAGTGGCAGATAGACAAGACCTATCACCTTCTGCTGTGGCCCAAGCTTGTCCTGGAGAAGACAGTGAAATATGTGCACATTAGCTATCATGTCACCCTAGGAGGCACAACTCCAAGGCTAGACTGTAATCCTTATCACATGTACATCAGTAATTCCTTTCTCTTCAGTGGACTTTCACTGCTATTGTGAGGAACATCAGCTACAATTCTTGACTGTTGGAAAGCAACCAGAAATTTGGTTTCTATAGATGAAACAGTTTAAAACAGCAGATTCACTAAGTCTTTGAATATCAACAGGAAGCTTTATATATAAGCCTAAGTCTTACGGATTTAAACTTTATAATTTCAATGTAGCCTTATTTCTAAAATGGAATTCCTTCATGTTACCACTGTGCAGTAATGTTTTACAGGCACATGTTTTACAGGTTAATTCTTATCCAGGATTACAAATACGCCTAAGAATGAAATAGTAGTAGATGTTATGGTATTAATTTATGTATTTTTGGAAGACATCAAAGTCACATAACCTTATGGCTAATGATTTCATTTAATTGTACAGCTCAACATTTTAATCTTCAAAGAAATCTGCAAACAATGACTAATTAATCCTTGCAGCAGCACTTTGAAATAGGTAGATAGACGTCATTAATTCCACCTAACCAATTCTTTGCCCAAGGCAATACATTGAATCAATATTTAAACTAAGATTAGAGGTCATTCTTACTTTTTTGTCATTTAACTAAACTAGCAGTTCCCATGTTTCCTTGCTGTGATAGTTTAAATGGACATATGCTTTGGCCTGTGCCAGATCTTCTGTCTCTATATTCCACCTCTCTGCCAAAATGCTTCCTGTCCCTCTACCCCTCAGAAATTCCACTCCAGTCAAGCCACATGTGGAATGTCCTACTTTTCACCTCCAGAACCCCGTACCTGGATTTGCCTTGCTTATTCATATCCCTCCTTAACTAACTCTTTGCACCCACAATCCTTCTCCCACAGGTTTCCTGCCTTCCAGGTACCATTGCCTGTCTTTGGTGGATCCTTGCTTCTGTGCTTGGAGTGCACGTAGCATCCTCTAGTGAAAGACCATCTCTTTTCTGCACCTGGCTCCCCCCAGCAACCATGGGGAAGCTCTGCTGGTGTAGCAGCTATTCTCTTCTAGCTGGCTGTATCTTGTATGTTGAGCAGAGAGAAGATTGAAGGTAAGCCTTGCACCATTAAATACCACACACTGTTCTCACAGGCCATGGCTCATACAAAAGTGCAGCCTGCAGTTCACATGTGTGTTGTTCTAGGTGGACATTCCTGAAAGGCTTTTGCTGCACATTGCGAGTCACAAAAGCAGTTGTTCTAGGTGGAGGTTCCTGAAGGTGTTTGCTGCACATTGTGAATCACAAAAGCAGTTTATAGGGCCAAGGGCAGGCATTGTCATTCAGGTAATATTGACATCTGAGGAAGTTCATGAGTGTGGAACCAAAGAGAATCTTATGTGGTAAAAAGGAATACTACTTGCCTTGAAAATAGACTAGTGATAATATTGACTGGACTGAGGCAGGTCTGAGTGCCATAGTGACCAGCAGGGATTGAAAAACAATAATGGTTGCCTGTGGCACACTGTGATAATGTCCTGATTTGACAGAAGAAACTAATTCTGCATTATATGTAGTGATGGATGTGATACAGGAAAAGAGAGGAAAAAACAATGGGAAAGGAGATTCCCATCTCATGTCATCAAAGATTGGCACAAAACCCTGAGAAACAGTTCCAGAACCTGGACTTCCCACTGTGGTGGTGTTTAAGATCTGGTCAATCTTATTTGGCTATAACTTTTCTTGCCTGTTAGGAAATAAGAGTTAATGTGGTGTATCCCGTACCTTTAGATAATAAAGCCACATTTGTATTTCTGCTTTGGTGTAATATGTCAGACTCAAAGGTAAAAAAGGTACTCACAATGACTGTAGGGAGTCTGCCCCCCAACAAATTAGTGAAGGGACCAGAAGTATTCCTGCAGGCAGCTGAGCTGACTGCCCTCAATTGACATGCCTGTACCTTTTTGTACTTGTCATTTCCTTTACTTTATAGAAAATGTTATGTCTTCATGTGACTGCCAGAGAAAGAAAAGAAGAGGATACACAGAGAACCTGAAATTCTTTGGCAGCACTGCACAGTAGCTAAGGATATATTCTAAACCTGATGCACTATTGCAAAAACTCTGATTGATCTCAGCATACCTAAAAGTGTAATTTTCTATGGGTGAGACTGCATAACTATGTCTTCTGCTTGTTCCATTTCCTTTAGAAATATATTTGATGCTCTGCCCCTTACTTTCAGGCTCTCTGCAGCTGACTAAAAGGGCAAATAACTTCCTAAAATAGACAACCTGACTCAAACACAAATTGACTGAGCTACAACTACATAGAATTTTATGTGGTGCAGAAGGTCAGATAGATAATGGTAATTGTCCTGCTTGGCTTTAGATCACTGGATTTACTTGGGTACTAAGTCTCTCCATTCAGCATGATTCAAGAGAGTAAAATCTATAAAATAGGAATTGTCCATTCAACCAAATGGAGAATGGCTGAGTATAGACATATGGCAAATTCATTTTTTGCAGGCTGTTGATAATCTCAAAGAACATGTAGTAACAGAACAAATCAGCATGATGGTGGAGGTTCCCCCGCCACCCACAGTGGGTGATATTTTGGGGTGTAAAAACAGAAGTGAGTTACAATAACACATCCCTTTCAATCTGAGTAATTTTCACTGAAATCTAAGATGACTGGATGCACAAAGCCATAGTATTCTTTTTGGTTTAAAATAATTATATACTGCAAATACATTATATACTGCAAATGCATTATATACTGCAAATGCATGCAGGAGAAGGCTAATCATTAAGGACTTGTCTTGGAGGAAGTAACTGAGTGAAAATATGAAAGACTGTCAGTTTCCTGACATAGTTCAAATGTTAAATGACACGTAACCTGAAATCACCCAAACTTGATGGCAAAGCTTTATTGTATGATGCTGTTAATGAAATTCTGCTTCTTGACAATTGAATTCTTTTTCATAGCAATTTTGAAGGTTGCTGTTCTTATATTTTCTCTTGCACTAAATGACTCGACAAGTGCGTAAGTTACATAGAACAAATGTAATGGTGAAGATTTGTTGTGTGAAACCTTGAAGGAAATTTTCTTCTAGTTCAGGAACATATTGTTTTGATTTCTGGAATTAAGCATTTGAGAGTAGCTGATGAGCACAGGGCAAAAGCCTAGCCCACTGAAGTGTTACCAGGTACTTCCCCTGTAGTGAACAGAATCCGTTAAGATGATGATTGCTGAGATATATTTGGTGTTCTCTGTGTCTCTCAAATGGAGAGGAGAAACTGAAATGTTGACCTTCCATTATGCAAATTTTGCAGCCAGTTTACTGTGTTTGATGAACTCTTACAGCACATGCAGATGAACGCTTCCCACCCTCTCTCAACAGATCTGGCACACAGTAATCACATGTTCTGTGTTTCTGTGCTATATAATGGCTACCTCTGCTCATAGAAACACAGCCCTCAAGACTGAAACAAAGGTCCCTAAAAGCTTCACTTTTCCAAAGGTTAGATCCATCTTCGCCTCTCAGGCCAGGACATGAGAGACTGACTGGTGGTGTCTTCTCAGCTTTAAACCAAGCCAAAGACTAGGTGGTAAGTAATAGTCTGCTGCCCTTTCTGTCCTACAGCAAAGACCAAGCAAGACCATTATTCCATTTCGTGTAGACTTTCACCTTCAGAGTCACAAAACTCATGGAGCTTTGCTTTTCACAGTGACTTTGCTATTGTTCTACTCGAATTGAGGTAGTCCTACAGTACCAGTTCAGATAAAAGGAAGCATATTAAGCACTTCAGTGAAATCCTGCTTATTGCAGAGAAGACACATCCATCAGTAGGGTGTCTCTTAAGATCAGCTATACATAACCACAGACTTTTGTAGATCTCCTTTATGCTTTTCACGTTAGTCATTCCATTCCTTCCTTTTCTCTCTTTGTTAATATATGATTGTGTCCACATTTGTTCAAAAATATTTTTTATTCTGAGCCTGTAGATAACTGCATGATAGCTTCCTCTCTCTTGGCATAAGTAGTACTGTTGCTGCTCAGGTTCCATCAAAGTACAAGCAACTGTACTGTTTTTTAACAAGGAACTATTTTTCTCCATTTATACCACTAGTCCCATCTACATCGTGGGACTGGTGTTCGGACTGGTCTTTGAAAATGTTTTAATTATTCTACCATTACTTGGAAACAAAAGGTGAACCTGAACTTTCTTTCATCATAAGAAATTGTTTATCTATCTATCTGTCTATCTATCTATCTATCTATCTATCTATCTATATCATATATGACATATCACATATGACATATCACATATGACATATCACATATGACATCACATATCACATATCATATATCATGTCATATGTCATATATGATATATCATATGTCATATATCATATATCATATATCACATATCATATATCACATATCACATATCATATATATCATATCTGCATGTATACCTTATGCATAGATATGCATGTACATCCAATATATTTAAAGTGCATACACTGGCATTGCCTCCAACAGTAACATACTTCAGTTGTGGTCCAGACAGAACTGTAAAGTACTTTAAGGAATGGTTCAACGGATTTAAGATGCCAGCCTTAAGAATTGCTAAGCATACATGCTTAGTACACTGTAGAGATCAGACTAATTATCTTAAGTTTATAAAACTGAGAATGCCTTATACCAGTAGACACTTGAAAGTTTAGTTCTCACAAACCTGCTAGATTTTGCAGTGAGCAGCTTTGCAGGTAAAGCTGTTCAAAGTTCAGATTTTCAGGGAAGCTCTTCCCTCTCTTAAACCAAACCTGTGACTTTCCTAGTGAATTGAAGACCTGATTAAGTTATAAAGAAATCTTCTGCTCTTCTGATGGGTTGGGCTGAAGTTAGATCAGCTCTCCAAACCTCTGCCTGATCATGCTACTCCAGTGTAAAACCAGGTAGAAACATGTGACAAGGCTTAAGAAAAAGATTTAACTCCTAGGTGGGTATGGGTTTTAACCTTCCATTTCTAGTGTCTTCTGTGCCCAAGAATAACTTACCTTTCTCTTGATTTTGCCCCCAGCCTGCTTTGGTCTTACCTACAGAACAGTGCAAGTAGATAGTAAAAAGTTAATAAGCATGTAACATAAGTGACAGAAGTGATATAAGAAATAAATTAGATCAATGCTGCATCCCTTTATTTTGCTGTGAATCAGCTTCCACTCAGCCTGACTAGAAGTTCTTTAACAGCACCTGGCCATCTCTTCCCACATGAGCCTAGGAAGACCTCTGTCTCTCCGCTCTACTGGAGGTTTTGAATCTTATCATTGTCTCTATGCATACATTGTCTCTGTGCAATCCAGGGAGTTACCTGCAGAAAATCAAAGGCAGAAATTCCTGCAGTCAAGATGGTTTTTAACTTTTGCTCCCAGTCCTTGTGAAACTATGTGATATTTAGTGATCCAACAAGTCCATAGTCCCTGCCCAGGAAATAAAATGGTAGTATGTTCTTATCAGAGATGAAGGACATTGAAATACTGGTGAAGAAGTTGAAAAAAACAGGGTATTATATAACAATGAAATGAATCAAGCTACTTGAATTTCCCAACCTACAATTTCAAACTTTTGTGTGAAGTTTTCAGTGTCACAGTTTTATTTTGCCTTCTGTGCTAGGGGAAATTAGAATAGTTAGGCATTTTTACAGCTATTTGCTTCTCCAGCAGCAACAGAAGTCAATTTATATTTTTCATAAATTTAAAATACTGTTGTCCATCTGTTTTCTTCATCAGCTGTGGCTTTAAAGAAATACCACTAGAGGGCAAGCTGACAGCTGTAAGCCATCTGAATTTTGGGTCTTCAGGTTGATGGGAAATTATTAGCTCCAGTGCTAAAAAAAAACCCTTAAAAGCCCACTTGATTCCTCAAATTCTTAAAAAATCCTCCACAGCCCTTAAATATGGGAAAAAATCTATTTCATTTAAGCTGTTATGAATGACTGCTAATGTAATTTAAAATTTTTTTTATGTCTTGTTGATCACTTTTATAAAACAAGAATATACAAACATCACATCACATGTCCTTCTGAAATTGTCTGGAGTTCTCTAATGTGTATAAATGGAAGATCTTAGCAATTCTGTTATAGTTAAATAAGGTATTTTAACATACATACAACATATATATACACACACATCTATCCATGCCTACAAATACATTGACTTATACATTAACAGTATAGATGGAGTGCTGACAAACATGAAAAAGCTGAATTTGATTCCTAATACTATTTTATTGTTCCCTAGAGCTTCAAAAAGTGTTTTAAAAAGTACCTAATGCAGTCCTACTGCTGGAGGCACAGAGCTTGTTAGATGCCATAAACAAAGCCACAGTGGTCCTGCTCAGTGCTTGAATGAGAGGCCTCGGAGGCAAGAAAGGAGTCTGTGGGATGCATGTATTTTTTGGTTTTAATCCTGCTACTCCTTCAGTTTCCCACAGAAGTTCTTGTATTTCAGTTTGTTCTCATCATGAAATCTTTGTTTCCTTTTCTCCTTATGTTTCAAAAAGAAAATTGTATACAAACAGTTGGAAAAATCCTACATTACCAGCTGATACTTTATTCTAAACACTATGTGCATAAGGCTTCAAAGGAAATAATGAGCAGTGTTTATAATAAAGTCTTTAGCATTCGGCTCATTATTTAAAGGATGCTGTGGATAATATTTCAGTTACAAAGTTACTGTGCCCTCAACCTGGAGACTTTCCCCTCTCATTTTGCCCCACAAGTGCATGCAGCTGTGCTAACACTTTTTTGTTACACTTATGTGCATTCTTTGTTTTAAAAGTCCCTAAACAGACTTCACAAGGCATACAGCATGTTGATATAGTAAAGGGGCTTCCTCCAGTGAGAATTATGCATTAAGCCTTGGAAAAGATAAGACTTTCAAGAAAACTTTTGGAGGCTTCCTCCTAGTGGAACAGCCTAAAACTTTGAGCTCATCTTGTGTGACAGAGCAGGTCTAACTGCAGGAGCCTGTCCCTGTGCCAGCACCCTTTAAATCCTGAACCTGGTGTGTCAGGACCAAAATAAGTAGACTTTAGTGTCTGATAGGTCCTCATGGGCAGATCCTGTCGGCCACAAATCCAGCTGAGAGAGCTGGCCTTCTTTTGCCCAAGTCAGGTCTCAGAGGAGCTCCAGGAGTAAGCCTTGAGAGCCAGCCAGTTCCTGCACAGCGCAGACATAGCAACAACACCTCCTGGGAAGGTTGCATGAAGCCCCTTTCCTATGAAGGTGACATCCCTGAGGTTTGGGAAAATGAAATTATAGACTGTTGAAGTGGGGGTGAAAAGTCAGATACTTCCTTTTAGGACAAAGTGGGGTGTGCAAATGTTATTTGTCCGGTTTGTTTTTTCTCTTGCTGTTGGTCCCTCAGCTAATCTGATAGTTGGTAACAGTGGAGCCATCAGAGTCATAGGCAAGGGATGCAAACAGAAGCATCGTGCGTATGATCCAAGAGTGGGAAGGGAATTCCATTCAAGGAACTCTTCTTTATGAAATCCTGAGAGATCCTCATTTGCTGATGGCATCCTGCAAGTAGTGATTGCAGTACCCCATGAGATATTAGTGGCACTGGGGACCAGACAGCTCTTAGAAGCTAGCACAAACCCCAGAGGAGCCCACTGGTTTTGGAAAGCTTCTCCAGGACTGAGTCATTTATTTGATGGATAGTTGCACAGCTAATATTTTTCTAAGGAGCTAGATCTGTAGTAGATGGTGTATGGCACAATTACCTGGCTTGACTCTTCAGTGGATGAAATTTCCCAAGTTATTTGGGGAAAAGTGTTTCTTTAGTTTCTGTGACTTGAAGCATTCTCTATAAAAGTTTGCATTACCACTGTTAATCATGCATATTTGAATAGCTGTGTGCCCAGTACATTAGGTAGCTACATAGGATAGTGTTATCTAACGATGATCTTTAAAGCTATTCGGGTAAAGTACAGCTAGTCACATTTTCAAAAGAAGTATACACAGACACATGCACACAAATAATCTGTGAGAATTTTTCAGTGACTTATTATTAAATTTTGCAGGTAATGATTAATTCTCTTTTTTGTCCAGTTTCTCCATTTATCCTGTATCTGGTGATCTACCTACTTCTAAATAATGCTGATCACTGGAGCTCCTGACAACAATACACCAGTGGAGATGTTCTGAGGACAGCATTCCAAGAACAGACAGGATAATGAAACTCACAAGACACTTGGTTTTATTTCCAAACATACAATTTTGAGGTTTGGAGAAAATGTTTTGTCTTCCAGGTTTTCATATTTCATAGAAAAATCAATGGAGCATGAAAAAACAGGCCTTGGAAAATTAACCAAAGCTCTAATTTTCTGCAAAAAGACTGCTTCAGTAGAAATATTTTCATCAAGCTGTTAAAAGCATGAGCCCACCTGCTGATATAGTGCTCTGCTTTGAACTGGAAAAATGAGTGTGGATTCTTAGACATTTGCGTACATCCTGAAGATACAAGTTAGGTTGCAGAAGTTTGTCTTCATGCAAGATGTCAGTCCCTTGAACTCGTAAGAGAAAGCTCTTACTCCCAGGCAATACCTGGGAGATATGCTTCCAGCTCTTAACTCTCCTTTCGCCTGATCTCTCTCTGAGTTAATAAGAAGCTTTTTGCACTTCATGACTAAGATGCTCTTGTCAATATTAAACTAAAATTGATCCTCAGCTTCACCATTTATATCAGCAACAAATTGCGTATTATTTTTTTTGTAACACTTGCTTGAATTGAGCAGTGGTTTGCATCAAACTTTTTTATGTTAATGATATTCTTGCAATTCCTTTCATAGCATAAAATAGTTAATTATCAATCATGACAATCCTGCTATGGGTTTGGATAAAGTATTTCATACTTCCCTTTATTAACCCCGTTGTCAAACAGCAAACAAAACCTATGACTGGTCTCTCTTAGTTTCTGTTGCTTTGGAAGCTAGTTACATGTCTTCATCTGTAAATTGTTAGTCTTTAAAAAAAATTAAAATAGTATTGGCTGAGGTTTTTTAATCTTTCTTTCTTTCTGTGTTATCATTAATATGCTATGTTTAAGAGCTCTGTTTCAAATTGGTAGGCTGAAGCTTCTGAGTCTTCTTAGCCTTCTGAAAGCTAATTAACTCATAATTCAATTTAGAGCAGGACTTTTATCAGCAGAAAGTCATAATCAGAGAGGAAGGATGGGGTAATGACTAATGAAGTCTTTTTCCAAGGTCTTTACCAGTCTTCCCTGGTGACCTTAGAAAATCTGTGTAAATACTCTTATTTTTCTGTGTCTACTTTATCTAGAGAAGAAATATTTTGATCAAGGACTATCACTGTAGATGAGAATGACTTCAAAGTTCTGCTGTCCTGATAGTATTCTTCAAATATGCGTCATGTTGCCTTTTTTCAGTAATAGGTCTCGAGAGCTTTTCATAACATAACCAGGTTAGAATGGTCCTCTGTTACTTAAGGTCTAGCAAGTAAGTCGAAAGCATGGAAAAATCTTTCAAAGTCCATGGTAATAAAATCTCCACTATAAAATTTTAATGTGGTATAATTGTGATGATTTAATTGCAGCTTTTAAATGGCATTTTCAGTTGTTTTAAGATGCATCTATCTATTTAATGAGACTGAGAAGGAACTTACATAAATATCAATTAAGTTCACATAATTTTTAAAAATAGATGTTTTGGGAGATAAAATGTAGAACAGGTACACATCCATTCCATGACTTCCCTCTAAGTACACTGTTAAAAACATCTTTATCTAACATCCAGTAATTGTCTAGTTAATGCCAAAAAATTGTTAGGGTGCTTTGTCTTCTGTAGCATACTCAGACATACTGAGTTATTTTTACATTAGAAGACAGCAGGGAGTCTTATTTTAGTACTACCTATTCACCACAGTGCAGGATTTCTGGCATTAATCTGAAAAAGGCTGTTTTATTTTTGCCAGTGGTTGAAATGCTTTTGAAAGTTACTGAACTGACAGCTCTGGAGACTGGCATCCTGTTTTTATCTGTTGGATGGGTACAATGCTGGCAGTGACTGCTCAAGCTTGTTCTGCATTGTTCTATTGCTATCTACTCAAGGCAGATGTAGAAGGCCAACCCATAAATAGGAGAGAGACAACCTTCATGACTTCATACTGAAAAACAGTAACAGTTCTGCAGAGCTTCTAAATATTATAATCTTCTGTTGGAATGACACTCACTACACCATATTTATTTATATCTGTTTTGACTGGTACCAGTTGAAGATAATTAAGTCCATTGAAATAAGATATCTTCTCCCTAATTTTTGTATAGTCAATACAGAGGTCAGTTCTGCCAAAGTAAAATTCAGAGCTGGAGCCTAAATCTAGGAGCAGCAAATCTCTAATGTCACTCCACACTCCTCATCAAATTGCAAAAGGTTGAGTATCCCTACAACAGACTTGCAGCTCAACCCACCAGTCTCCCTACAGGCCCTGAAAGTGATTACCTCTAGGCATTCTCCTAAACTACCTGAAAGGAGGTTGTACTGAGATGGGAGTTGGTCTCTTTTCCTAAGAAACAGTTGATAGAATAAGAGGAAATGGCCTCAAACTAGAGGAGGCTTGGATTAGATACTGGGAAAAAATTTCACTAGAAGCTGTGAAAAGATTTCACAGCTAGTGCTGTAACAAGCTGCCCAGGGAAGTGGTTGAATCACCATTCCTGGGGATATTTAAAACCATTGAATAGATTGATTTGGAAGGGATCTTTAAAGGTCATCCAGTCCAACCACCCTGGCATAAGCAGGACATCTTCATTGAGATCAGGTTGCCTCGAGCCCCATTCAGTTTGACTTTGAATGCTTCCAGGGGTGGGACATCAACTGCCTCCCTGGGAAACCAGTGTTTTACCACCTCATTGTGAAAAAGCCTTTCTTATATCTAATTGAAATCAACCCTCTTTTAGTTGAAAACCTAAAAATTTTGTTCCCATCTTTGTTGTAGTCCCACTTCAAGTACCAAAAGGCTACAATATTGTCTCCCCAGAGCCTTGTCTTCTCCAGGCTGAACCATCCCAAGCTTCTCAGCCTCACCTCATAGGAGAGCTGCTCTATTCCTCTATCATATTGGTGGCTTTTCTCAGGGCTCACCCCAACAGGTCTGTGTCCTTCCCGTTAAATAGATGTGGTAATTAGGGACATGGTTTAGTGGAACTTGGAAGTGTTACATTAATGTTGGATTCTTAAAGATCTTAAAGGTCTTTTCCAAGTAAGTAATTCTATGAATCTATGTTTCTAACCCACAAGTTTTCAGTTCTCTCCCCAGGAAATACTGTACAAGAGGAATGCCTTAGTATTTTCTAAATATTCTGGAGCAGTGTATTTGCATTTCTCTGAGTATTTCCCAGGACACTGGTACTAATGAGTCACATATTCTTATAGGATTAATATATTTTAATTTTACCTAGATATTCTGAGTTTGTAATACAAGGGAAATTAAATTTCAAGCAAACAAAAGTACTCAATTAAAAAATGCCCAAATAAATACTATTTACTATTGTAAATATTTAATGACAGCCTAGCTACAAATGTTGAAGAAAACCATCAATTGATCCTAAGCTTGTATCTAGAAGTCATCTAGCTCACAAGCCATAAACACTAATAGTTGCATAGTCCATATGACCAATATGAAGTAGTATTTGCACACAATATCTGCAAGTACTGCACTCCTGGGAGGTGGTATATTAATGTTGGACTGTGGAAGAATGAGTGTATTTCTTTTTATTCTTTTTGATGATGCCTGCAAGGGACCAGGAATGTACTGGGACTGGGTTTTCCACTGAGATTTTTAGCTCCTTTGTGACTACAGATCCTAAACTTTTTCAAGATGGAGGTTGATCCTCATAGACTGCTTTTCCTTGTATGGAAATGTTAATTCCCCTTTTGCAGTCATCTCCTCTCTTATGGTAAACATGGATTGTTTATCATTGCTTATCTAATCTGCTAGCAAATCTTTACTGTAGTGAGAGGTAAAATGCTCTTCCTACCCTGGCATTCTGTAAAATTCATTCTGAAGCCATTCTGCACAGGGCATCTTAAATTTACTGTGGACATGTATCAACATGGGATTCGAGTGGCATCTCATTACTATGATTCTAGAGACTAGAGGGTTTGATGATCAGTTTGGGATGGCTAATTTCCAAACCTTGTCCTTAATTGGTACAGTGATACTACTGCATCTGCATACATGTACTCATTCCCTGCCTGGCAAATAGCCCATTCACTGCCTGACACTTCTCGTAGTTAACTAGCCTCAACTTCTTAAAGCATCCCCTTCAATTTGCTACGACAAGGTATATGCAACCAAGGTTATGAAGCTTTCAGAAGTCTGAGTGTTTGATTGAAGCATGTGACATACAAGCATCAAGACACTCAAGACAGCAGCTGAAAGTTGTAACTATTATAATTACTTTTCCTTTCTCAAGTAAGAAATATTTATTCCTCTTTAGGATCTATGGACTCACATATTTCACAGAACATGTTTTTCTGGTCTTTGAACTGCAAATTTCTTAGGTCTCCATAGGAACATATATTAAAGGATGAAACTAGATGTTCTTGTGAAAGTTGAGATCTGCAGTATTTGAAAGATTTAGTTCCTAAAAATGTGCCTCTTGATCTATTGTGAATCAGCTCTCTCAGTCTATTCCACTCCCTACTTAAAGCATTAACAAAAACCCCCAAATGTATTCAAATGTATTAGAGACTACTTCAACAGCACAACAGAGTGGACAGTCTTAAGTTATCCTCTTATAACCATTAACTACAGAAACTTTGAAATTAAGAAAAAACTTACCTTCAGCTGAGTATTCCCAGCAAAAGTAATGGACAGCGTTCTGAGTATAAGAATATATTGATCTCATCGTCATTTAAGGCCACTTTTCACCTCAATGAGCTTGGCAGAATAGTCAAGGGTTTTTTGCATAAATTATCTCATTTTGTTCCTCTTCCAAGGATTAGCACTTACTATTCTGGGCCTAAATTCTTGCTTCCTCAGAAGAAAAGTAATTATAAAGTTTTTGAAAAATATTTAGAACATTAGACTTGTTGTTATAAATGAAAAGTATGCCTGCATACACCTAATCAGGTGAAATATAGTTGAACACAAAATGGTTTTGCATGCTGATGGTGCCACTGCAACATGCTGAATATCAGAAAAAAGGAAAAAAAAAGTGTTGCCTCAGGATAATTTTTGTCAAGTGATAGGGAATGAAATATGTATTTCAGATTTTCTCTTTTGACATGCATTTAGTCAGAAGTCACTGGGTAGCAAAAGGTGCTGAGTGGCGCGGAATCTTAAGGGAAAAGCCCAGATGCTGAAAAGAGGAAGAGGGGAAACCTTCACTTGCAGCATGTTCTGGAGCTTGTAAAAATGCAATCAGAGCCTTTCTTCACTGTGGATAAAAGGATCTTTGAGAAGCATCTACTCTGGTTATATTACGCTTCTTGACAGTGCACTAGGACTACTTAATTGCTCCATCTGCCTGTATACAAATTCTAAAACAAAAGGCCTAATGGTTTTTGAACATATTAACTTTTCACATGTCTTTGATTGTTTCTAGTACAGATGAAAAATATCCCAAACTACCTCTGTGAAAAGAGCTGTGATCTCTGTTAAGATCCCTATCCAGAAGTTTTATATTTATTTTATGCCTAAAGAAGGTTTCTGTTTCTCACAATGTCATTATTAGAGCCATAGACAAGGATTATAAGGCTTTCTTGGAAAGCTTCCTGCAACAGCATCATAATGTTCAAATTGTAAATAAAGATATAAACAAACAATGTACAGATGAAAAATATTATTATTTTATGTATCTGGTGGATACATGTATCCTACAAGTAGTAGGCAGTGAGGTTCAACTCTCAGTGGGTGGAGGCCAAGACAACACACAGGACTGAGACCAGAACCTTAGAAATATTTAGTTTCTCCTGCTGTTGTTTTTTGATACAAAATATATATATATATATAGTAATATAATATAATAATATTATATATATTAATAGAAATAATATAATTTCCTGACATTTAATGTCTTGGTTTTCTGAATGTAGCTCCTTCTTCAGTCTTTACCTCCTGCAACATATTTTGAGTCTAATGGGTTGAAACAATATTGCTTCAAATTAAAAGGCAATGCTTAAATCTAAAATCTCTCTTAATAGAGTTTTACTTGGGATCATGCATTTTTCTCAGGCTTAATTGCACCATGTTTAGTTTGGTGCTTTGAAATATGATTCACATCATCTTTGTATTAATGTGAGACAGTTTGATAGTTCATCCATCAGCAATTAGAAAACAGAAGGCCAAAGGCCTATATTAACAAGTAAGTAATGCAAGTATGAAGCTATGTCACCATAGCAACTTGGCTTGCACACAGGATGCTGTATTTAACCTTGGGGAGCTCTTAAAAACTCCTGGTTCCTGAAATAAGTAAAGTCTACGTGGTAGTGGGGCTGTGCCTTCAATGCTATAGAAGTAGATTTATCTTAGAAATGCGCAATTGCTTTGGCCCAATATAA